CTCCTTCTCCGTCTCATTTCTCATTCTAACGAAAAGGTAGGTGGTTCTCGTCTCTCTAGAATTTCATTGCGTCGCACATTTGTATCTGCTCCTGGATAATTCTTTATATGCGCTGCAGCTCAGCTTTAAATTAAATCCGAATTCTGTTAAAAAATCAGAATTCAGTAAATTGATTAATAGGACGTAGTAATTTCACGCTCTCATATTTGGATTTGGTCATTTGATGCTCCATTCTATTGATTTTGTTGCGGAGTAAAATGTGTTGTCTTAGCAATGTAGATTGTTAACAATTATCTCCTGCACATAGCCTCTGAACATTTTTCCCTTATGATCTTGCCATGTCCTTTCTTATTTAGATTTTTAATATTTTGGTTGAGCTATGTTCTTTGTTGCATTGAAGATTAATGTTTTTTTCATGGCATGCAATTCACTGCCACACAATTCCATGAATGGTGTTCTGAACTATTGAACCCTACTTGCATTCAGAATACATTTAAAATACATTTAGAAGAACACTATTAGTGAATATTGATATCTATCTGCTCTATAAAAGTTTTGGTTCTTTACTCCACCGTTCTCTAGGTTGTGGGTGCTGGTGCAAGGTCCCTCAAGTTGATTTATCAGTCAAAATTGGCTCCAAAATATGATTTCATCCAAGACGACAATGTGGCCTTTATCCTTTTGCTATTAAATAGTGAGGATGAAAATGTTTCTGGACTGGGTGCAAGTATCATCTCGCATTCTTGTAAGACATATGCAGAACAGAAGGCATTGAGTGATGCTGGAGTCACAAAAAGACTTATTAGCCTTCTTGGAGGATCTCTAGTTCAAAGGGATGCTAGTCTAGAAGCCCTGGCCACAATTATGAAGCAAAATCCTGAAGTCACTTTGGAATTCATGGAGCCCCAAAGGGGAAGAGCATTGAATATGGTTCTCGAGCTAACTAAAGATAAATATTCACGAACAAAACTGCTTGCATGCACGTGCTTGATTTCCATTATTAATACCTCTCCTTCTTATCTTCAAGATGTACAAATAAAAAGGAAATTGATACTAATATTACTGGATCTTCTTGAGGAATCCGGTCAAGTAGGAGATGAAGCTCCTTTTGTTCTATCTAGTTTAACTTCAGAAGATGAGGGTCTGCAAAGATTAGCATTTGAAGCAAGTGCTATTGATAGACTTTGCGAACATTTTGGAAAGGATTCATTACAACCAAGACGTTCTCAGGGAATATTGCATGCACTGGCCGATATCTGTTCAAGGCTAGAATGCTGTAGGGATCGGCTGATATCTTTAGAGGTCAGTTCCAGCTTGTGTTTTCCTGTTTTTTGTGAAATACTAAATTAATAATGATCATTTTGACCAACAAATAATTTCAAATCATTATAAACTGTGGAGAAAACAAAAAATTCTAGTGTACTAAAAAGTCAATATTACATGAAACAACATAAGAGCCTGTATCTGTGATTGTTTTTCTGTATCTGTTTCTACTTATTTTGGAAGCCTTTATGGCTATATGCTTCACTCAACGTTGTCTCAATTATAATATCATATCTGTTTAATATTGCAATATCTGGTTGTAGTGTTGCAGACCCTTTATTTCTAGGCATACTGCATGAAGCATGTCACTAAATTTCAGAAGCAGAAAAGTTATTCAATGAGGCACCATATGCTTTCACTGAATTAAATAGGTCCTAACAAACATCTGTCACTTCTGTTCACATACAGGCTTTTAAGCTTGTGACTGAGGCCCTTGGGTGCCAGAGCCCCGAAGTTCGTATTGCAGCTTGCATCTGTGTGAAAAATGTTTCTCGTTCTGTCAAGGTTTGTAATATGTAAAACATGTCGATTCTTGTCCACAGCTTGCTGTGCTAAGCTAACAAAGTACTATGCAGCGCCTGAGTGCAGGTTGTTTCTTTAAGGAAACTGTAACAGCCCCCCTGGTTCAGCTTTTGTTTGACGAATCTGACAATGTCCAGGTATTTTTGTTGCTCAGCATTGATCTTCCATTGTCGCCAGTTTAGTTTTGTTTTGTTTTTCATTTTGGCATTAATTTATGGAGGCCAGCTCTATGGTGCTTTCTTGACACATCCATTTGTATATTTATTATTTAGTTATTTACTAGCTAGGAGCTCTCTCACATGCCCTACATCTGTGCACTCTCATTCTTGGTAAAGAAATTCAAGAACATTGGTGAAATTACTTACCATTATATAATGGCAGTTGACCGCGCAAACTATATGAAGTAGTTAACTAGTTATAACCCATAAATTGACCTTAACTACAACAGCCTATTCTAAGTCTGGAAAGGCTGCACTGCAGATCAAATAGGCATGCTTTTGCTATTACTGTTTTAAATTGTTACAGGCATTGAAAATTTGTTAACATGATTCACCATTACTCCATAGTTGTTTCTTCATGCATCTCATATTATTCGCAAGCTCTTGTTAATATTTATCTTTGTTTCCAAGGTTGCTGCCCTTGGTGCCATTAGCAATGTTGTGGTTGATTTTGTCTCAAATAAATCAATAATCATGGAATGTGGAGGTCTAAAACAGATTGTTCAACTTTCAAAGTCAATGGATTCAACTATCAGGGTAAAAGCAGTGTGTGCTTTGAGAAATCTGGTATTCCTTACAAGCAACAGGTGCAAGGAAGAAATCCTCTTGGAACTCACACAACCAGCATTAGAATGTCTCATTTGTGGTAACTGATTAATATTGATTGTCACTTGTGGTAAATATTTGTAAAAAGTGCTCTTGCTTTGAAAATCAACTATTTTAAACTGCAGACCCTGAATCATGTGTTCAAGAGCAAGCATTGGCTCTTGTTGGAAATCTTGTTGGTGGGTCCATTGATTGCATTGATTATGTATTTGTGGATGATGCTCTTCTGCTCCATACAGTGGGAAAACAGCTACACAATGCTTCAAAAGCTGAAGTTTTAATTCAGGCAAGCATTTTCCTTTTTCTACCCGTGGATTTGGTTTTTTCGTAGTTTCTTCTCAACATGATAACACCCTTAATCCCAAATGCAGGACCGGTGTACCCCTATTAGATAATTGTCTAAACTATTTAACACAATACATTCATCCAAATAGCACAGTGGCATTTTTTGGGAAACTTTTGTGTTGTATTCAAGTGGGCTTTTACAACTTTGCAAATGTTGAAACGAGGAATAATGAGATGAAATTTCAAAACTGTCATCATCATAGATTGTTTCTCCTTAACAACAACAGCCCAGTAGGATCCCACAAAAGTAGGGTATGTATGGGGAGGGTGTGTGTACGCAAACCTTATCCTTACTTGAAAGTAGGGAGACAGTTTCTAAGAGACCCCCAGTTCGAGCAAAACTGAAAGAACAAAGCACAACAAAGAAGCAAAAAAAAAAAAAACGGTAAAGAAAGCATATAACCAAAAAAAAAGGTAAAGAAAGCTACAAAAGCAAAAACTACCGCTAAGTCCCAAACGTCTACCTAACTATTCTAGTCCTATATCTCCAAACGCTCGTCAGCAGGTCTAATCACATCCTTCCAAGTCTTCTTGGGTCTACCCCTTCTCCCACCCCACCTACTACCACTTGCCTCTTGCATCTCCTTACCGGTGTCTCATCGTAATGCTGCTTGACATATCCATACCACCTCAACTTAGCTTCCCACAGCTTATCCTCCAAAGGTGCCACTTCCACCCGTCCCTTAATAGCATCATTCCAAATCCTATCCATTCTCGTCTGCCCTCACATCCGCCACAACATCCGCATGTAGTTGAAGAATGTGGTTTTTCATAAGTTCCTAGTCCTCCGCTCCGTAAAGCATAGCCGGTCTAAATACAAATCAATAGAATATCTCTTTCATCCTTATATTGAAAATATCATGAGGTGACAATGCCTTGTGATAATATATATGGTCATGCCCATTGCAAAAGTGATATTGTCAACTAAATTTGTACATCATGGACCATGATCATGTTCTTTTCCTTAGTACCTTATGTACGAAGTTCATGTACTAGGTTGCTCTTTTCAGCAAGTGAACATGTGCATGAGAAGCTGTTACATGACAATAGCATGGTAGTAGGTAGTACTGAGGAATAGTTAATTTATCCATCTATCCTTTAAAAAGATCCAGTCTTTCCTTTTGGATGTTTCAATACATTTCATCTCTCTTTATGTCGTTTAACTTATTCTAGTAGAATGACAATGTTCTTCTTGCTTTTTCCACCATAAAATATATTGCATCCGTCCCAAACTAAACTTTAGACTTTTCATATTTTCTTTTAAGGAAAGGTATATGTGGCTTATAACAATTTTGTCTCTCCTAAACAAATTCCAACCACACTTTTCACTTTTTAACATCTTTCTCAATCCCCTTGAAGTCAAAGTGTCAACTTCTTTTAGGGACAGATGGAGCATGCAAGTCACTTTTCATGGGCATACAAGCGTAGTCTACACAATAACACACATTCAATATTTGGGCCAAACCTGAGTGCGAACAAAAATTGGAAGCATTGATGCCTTTACTTCATAAACCATTATAGAAAGCTACAAGCAAGGGAAGTTTAATGTGCCATTTTGATCTAGTCCGTTATTTACCCGAAGCTAAACCATAGTAAAAAAATGACTCTTTTAGCTCCATTGGCAATGAACTTATAACATAGCTCAACATATAAATTTTAGATATTTTTTGAAATTAATTTATTCATATATATATCTACCATATTAAGAATACTTGATGTGTATGGACAAATACTACATTGTAATAGAGTTAATAGTACTATTAAAAAATAATACTTGACGTGAATATATGATCTTTTATAAAAGTTTAATCGAACTTGATTTTGTTTTGTATTTTCAAGTTAAAACCAAAGTTTAGAAACTGCTGTATTTACTCTGACAGTCTTTTTCTTCTTTACCATTTTACACATTCCATGCATATCCTTAGCCCTTAAGGATGGATGGAGTAAACTGAGTAATATATTGTACAGGGGCGGGATTGGGGAAACCTCAATACTAAAGATCATATGACTAATGTATTGCAGATTTGCAGGGTACGTATGTTCTAAGCAACGTGGCATCAGGTAATGAGTTTCACAAGGAAGCAGTTATGCACCAGCTTTTCCCGCCATCATCTAATGACACCATGCATTCAGTGGTGTCTAAGTTCTTGCAGAGTAGTGACAGCCGATTACGCACTGCTGCTGTTTGGGCTTTAGTAAATCTTACTTTTCCTACAAGCAGTCCTGGAACATCTGCTCGAGTTGTAAAGCTACACAATAACGGCATACTTTCTCAATTGAAAAATATGGTTAATGATCCCTGTTTGGATGTGAAGGTCAGTTGCAAATTGTTGAATTAAATTACTTTAGGGTACTTTGGATTGCGAAAAATTCTAGTGAAAGGAAAATATGCAAAGTATGCCAAGGGAAGTAGTTTCTGTGTTCGATTTTACGTTAGAAAATTCAAAAAGAAATGAAATACTCCCTCCATCCCAAAATAATCTTCCTTTTTTCCCTTTTCGTCCGTCCCGAAATAATCATCACTTTCCTTTTAAGGAAAAGAATATGTGGCTAAGTTTTTCCATCAATTTCTAAACACTCCTTTTTCATTTTTCAACACTTTTCTTGAACTCTGTGAAAGTCAAACACAGAAGATTATTTTGGGATGGAGGGAGTATGATTGATGGCTTTAAGAGTCTTATGTTTGTTTAGATTTTTGTCTTCATATCATAGAAATGAATTTAAAAATTGGAGTACGAAAAATATCAAACATAAAATTATTTAGTTTGAATCAATGTTTTAGTTTTACCCACATTTTTATTCCTTTTAAATTTATCCTATATATCTCTTCCCATTCCCTCATATAATATTCTGAGTTTCAAATGGACCCTTAGCATTTTTTTCAATTTAAATAAACAGTCTTTTTTTTTTCTTATTGCAGCTTAGAGCAAGAACAATCATTGGGCAACCAATGACCTGTGGCGATGGCTCTGCATGAATGTCATGCTTATAAATCTGGTCAATTATCTCCACAGCTGCCGCGGTGGAGGCATGGAGCATGATCATTTGGCCTTTAACTTCTTTTTAAGTGCAATCTCTTCTTTGTCTTGAGTTTGGATCATACAAGCATGGTATGTGCCGATCAACATTTACACATTTACATTTATTTATGATGGTTGCTACCATAACAATCAGTCTCCTTGCTTAAAGCAAATCAAGGGGAAGGCTGCCTATGTATTCCCTTCACTAGACCCCACTACATGGAAACTCTGGCACTGTGTGTTGTGTAAGGCTTTTTCTAAAATTGCAGTCTCTGTAAAACTTTCCAGCAGTAAATATTCAATTGATCTTATAGAAAGCTTTAAATATACGGAGTATGATTTTGCTAAACTATTTTTACTAATTCATTTGAAGAATGCACTCAAATTGATATCAGTTCACCAACATTTCAACCGTTGGAGGTTATGATTTTTTTATCCAAGTGATTCATTATTGCCATTAAGGATTGATTTATATATCCAATAATATTCAACATGTCAGATTCAATGGTCATTGTTGCCATTTGTGTGCCACATAAAAATCCTAAATATTTCCATACTTTAATTTCCATCAACCATCATCTCCAAATAGTCTCATTATTCATGGGTCCTGCACTAGTCAATTTTTCAAATAGTCCGAATCCAAATCCTGCTACTGGATTATTATACACAATGAACTCACCAAATAATCCTCCATCCCTGTCGATCATTCCCAAACTCATATGGTACCTCACCATTTCATCCCCAAATAATATCAACAGATGGGGATGCTCGCATGTGGAAGGATCTACCATTGTGGAGCTTCTATTACTGATATTATAAAATTATTTCACTATTGGATTCATTTATTTTTTAATCTTGATTTTTCTTCAGCTAGGCTGAACACGAGTGGAAAAGTTTATCTAAAGAAATCTGTCTCTTGTAATTTATCTTATGGCCTTGGTCAGTTGTTTTTGTTGGTGCATTTTTTTGTTTGTTTTGCCTTAGTATGTTATGTGTGCCTGTGTTTTTTTTTTGTGCTTTGTGATTTATGTCTAGTTTTTAGACTCATCTTGTTTGTTCTTTGTTAATGCTTCATAGATTTATGTTCTCAGCAGGAGGTCTCTTGGAAACAGACTCCCTACTTTGTGGGGTTCTTCCGAGTTTGTTGTTGTTGTTATCTTGGTTGAAACTAAGCTGTATTTTTACTTATAAAAAATATACATGTATATTGAATGTGTTACCGAATGGGCTTTGCCAACATTAAAGTCTATACTTGCAAGGTTATGTGTGCTGCACGCTACTAACTCCTAGTTACCTTTCAATTATCTGGTTCTGTCCTTATTCAGTCTGCAACATATGCTCCACAGGGATGAGCTAAGTTTGATTATATATATTACATTATATTATATTTTCCTTTGGCTTTCTTTTTTGCAGGTCCAAGCGTTTACTTCCATATTTTTTCGTTTTGTAACTTTGAAGGTCTTCATCAGGACACGCTCACATTGTATGTGATTTTTCCCGAGCAGAGGTCATATATTCCGGATGTTTCTTTACAAGGACACGGTTAGCATTTGCTAGTTTGTTTTGAACTATTTTTTTAATATCTCCCCGCCTGCCCACCCACCCACACCTATCTACCTGCAAAGGCCCACTGGCGGGGTGTGTGCAGTCCTCATTTCTACATGGCCTAGTAAGTAGGGATTGTTTTGTAAAAATTGTAAAAATGCATTGGGGGAGGAATGTTCATATATGCCTTAAAGGGTATTCATATGGCCAGTTACAACCATGCTAGGGGTATCCCAAGGACTGTGCACCAAAAGTATGCACCAATATTTTGATGGTTCACACTGACACAATATACTAGTGCGATCAAAAAGTTTTGCACCAGCATTGTGCTTGCGTGAACCATCACACTGGTACAAACTGACGGTGCACAATTGTGGTGTACAATTTGAGGTACAACTTTTGATGTATAAGTAGGTTAGTTGGGTATTATTGTGTAATAATCAATGTACAACTACAAATTATCGAAGTGTACAACAATAGGATAGTTTTTATCCCGAAACTAAAATTTCTCCCCAAGTGAAAAATTCTTCACCATTGGGAGAGCTTTAACATAAAGTTCATACTACCTCCGTTCTAAGGTATTTAGTATTTATCTAATTTTGGTTACTAATTAGTTACTCCATAAATTAAAATTACATTGCAATTTTGGGCAGTGGCATTTTTTAACCCATCATGGGTGAGACATATACTCACTTGTCGTGAGTGGTCTATTAGTGATCATATTTTCAGAGATGTCTTAAGTTTGAAATGTTCAAACTCAACTACTGCGGGAGGGACAGAAGTGAGACTCTAGGTCACTCTACCCCAAAACGGGCTTTGCTAAAAAAAAGATTTGTTATTTGTCATCAACCACGAGGTTATTAGTCTTTCTTCGTTCGTCTTACGATCCGGGTTAACTCGACTAGTCTCCGTTCGCTCCACGGAGCAAGGAAGCTGGCCCAAGGGGAATTGTCACCGGTGAGAATCGGCTTCTTCTCCCAACATGGAAGCTCTTTTGCCACTTGAGCTACCCACTTGGGTTATTAGACGATGCTTCTATATCTTTTCTCTTTTTTTTTTCAAGAATTGTTTCATAAATTCCTGATTAGTGAAGAGAAAAAATAAATTACTTTTAAAATAAATTTTTACTTCATTTCAAATTGTCTTAAAATAAAATTCTCGTAAAACATTATTGAATGTTTTTCTATCCCGAGTCCTTTTTTAATCATGTGTATAAACTTCAAACGCATACCTTTTAATGACGGCTGCTATCTAACATTGTTAAAAAAAAAGATGAATCCTATCCCAAAGCCCCCCCCCCCAGATCCAGTTACATGGTTACTGAGAGAAGATAAATTGAACTTTAATTGTAGATTGGTAGCAAAGAGTAGAGCTTGCCTCCCAGCTTAATTGTCATGAATCAAACTAGAATCTTACACCATTGGTACTCTTTGCCTTGTCAACTGTGCAGTACCCACCGGCTTATCAAACAATGTTAGAACATCCCACCCGGAGAGGTAAAAACTTGATGAAATATGATATGTCAAAAAAGAAAGACTGGGAATTGTCAAAGGGTAGAGAAAAAAAGAACAAAGAAAAGATTCGAGGGGAATAATGGGTTCACCAGGGAAAAGAAAAGAAAGAAGCTATTAAAACTTAAAAGAATGACAAGTTTTTCTCTGGACTTAAGTTCATACTAATTTTATGGATCTTAGTATATTTATAGCATAATATAAGTGATTTTTTTCACAAATAAAATATCTACATGTAAGCTCACAGAAAATATGATGTTTTCTATGGACCTTGGAACCATGTAAGCATCACTCTAAAAGTATTTGGTCAATACTTTGGAAAGCATCCTAAACTTCTGGCTTTCCTTTTAATTTGAAACCTAATCTTTTTTTAATTTGTTTTAATTTGCACATTTTTTTAGTATTAAATATGACATGTGTACCCATAAAAATACTTTGTATGACATGTGAAGTTTCAAGTATTTTTAATCATAATTTATATGTTCATTAAAATTTTAAAAATTGTTCGAGTGTAGTATTGTGTGGTCAAGTATTTTTTAGAGACTACAATAATTTATATAACTATTTTAAATTATAAGATATAAAAAAAATTATTGAACACATTTTTATAATAAAACTAAAAACATAAATTTTAGTTAATTTTTCTTAAATAAATTATCTTATTTATAACTATAAAAATTATGTAGATAAAATAAATTTATGACATGCAGGGTTCATCATTTAAAAAAGAAGGGAAATTATGAAAAATAATTAAAGTAATGTGAGGGAAGTTTAAGGAGGAAGTGTTGTGGAATTAAAAAAAAAGGAGAGAAAAGGTGAATGTGGGGGGAATGAATAAAGATGTTCTCACATACTCATTCTCCCCTAGATGAATTACGAAGTACTCCTTTTTTGATCAATGTGTAAAATAATAAATCAAAAGTTCTATAATCAAAAAGTGATGAGAATATTTTTTTATCAAATAATAAAAAAATATGCAAATAAAAAATGATCGAAAGACCATAGTAATTAAGAGGTAAATCATTTTGATAGGAAGAAAATACTTCCTTGTTTTCTAATAAAAGCACTAATTTGAATTCATGGAGTTTGATAAAATCATTGAAAAGTGAAAAATATAATTAAATAAGTAAAATTTACACTAAATAGGACTAAAACATAATGACTTTCCTAATCAATGACTTGAACTTTTTTATTACCTAAATAGGACTTATTAATGTCTTAGTGAAAGGAATAATGTCCAGTAATGATGGACATTTACTTGAATAATGACTGATTTATAATGACCAAAAGTCCTACATTGGAAAATAAAAACATATGGTCCTATATTGGGAAAGTCATTATGTTTAAGTCCCATTTAAGTAAATTACTTATTAAATAAAGAATGTATGAACAAGTAGTACATTATATAATAATTATTAGTGCTAAAAAAGGAGAGAAATGAGGAATTTACTTAAATATGACTAAAATATAATGTCTTTCTCAATATAGGACCCAATGTTTTTATTTCTCAATGTAGGATCATTGATCATTATCCATTAGTTATTATTCAAGTAATGGTCCACCGTCATATAACATTATACCTCCCACTATACATTATTAAATATTATTTAAGAAATAAAAAATTTAAATTCTATATTAAAAAATAACTTATGTTTTAATTTTATTTAGCGCAAATTTTACTAAAAAAGAAAATATGTGACATTAATTCGGAAACTAGTATTTTGACCCGTGCGACGCACGGGGCTAAACAAAAATTTTTTCGATTTCGATTTTTTTCAGTGTAATATATTCTTCGGAATCAAGTAAGTATATTTCTAACACGATTTTTAATCAATACACAACAACGACAACAGTAGAATAAATCATATTTGAGGAAATGAAAGTGTACTCGAAAAAACCTTATTTAATTCCAATTTTTTGAAAGACTTTAGGGTGCACAACGTTTTTGGTATGGTTGTAAATGTTTCCATTGTTATATAGAACCAAAATTTTTAATCATGTCTTTGCCTTCATTCGTGAAAAAGTAACATAAAGCTACCAATGACTAAATACTAAATTGGTTAAAAATAATAATACTACAACAAAAGATAATGTTTGACCTTAACTTTTGTTAATAGTCATAGTAAAATATAAAACTATTAAGAATTATTTTCTCTAGAATTTCTTAGGTAGTCTTGAATCAGATGATACCAAATTCATTCGGGGTAAGAAAATCATTTTCTCAATTGATTTCATGAAATCTCAATTGCAGTGATAATGTTCTTTCTCAACTTCTAAAAGATTAATCTTCTATCATTACACAATCCAGATATTTAGTCAATGTTCTTTAATGATATAGTCAATACCCCTTTTTTAAAAACTTTTTTGTGGTTTAGGATCCCTGAATATTTGATTTAATTAAAAAAACTCAAGTGTTATACAATTGTCTTCAACAGCTACATTTAAATCGGATGTGCATGAGGGATATGAAAAATTCATTACTATTCAACAAACTTGAGTGCGGATGCTAAAAGTGCACTATCCTAAAAAAATTCATGTTCTCTAATAGGTTCGTATAAGTGAAGTCCACTATAACTCTTGAGGGGATAACTTATTTCAAGAATCAAGAATGCAGAATGATTTAATTTCAATGTCAGCAGTTCCATCGATCACTTGTCTAAGTTTTCAATCTTTGACTTTGATATCTAATCAGAAAAAGCTTATGTGTCCTTATCTGTGTAAGAGGGTTTAGATTAATGCAATCTCATATTTTTGATCAATGTATAAATTTTACCATACAACTACATTTGTGAGGAATTGGTGGTAGCACCTACAATTTCCTCTCTCAAAGCTATGAGTAAAACTGAAAGAATTTGGATAAATCTTCTTTGAGTACAAATATTTTCCCTGTGAATGGTTCATTAAAGAATTTATTATTGGAGAACCTCATTACGTCTCTCATTGTGTAATCCAATGTCTCAAAAGTGAATATATGCATCGTAGATGGTAAATCTCATATGATTATTTCGGACTCCATTGTTTATTGTCACAAAATGAGCACTCGGTTAGCACCAAAGGGATTAAAAATCTCGACGCTCCTTCCCCTAGGCAAAAGCAATGCTACAATGTAGTTGGATGCGACATTCACGACAACCTTACCATTTGACCTTAGAGAAGCAGACAATGACTTCTAGAGAAATATTTTTCTAGTTCCACCGTAACCATTGACAAAATAGAACTCCCTCTTTCAGCTATCACGACTTCCATTATTTCATTAGATATATTCTACTGATCTTCATTCATCGTAGATAAATATCCTCTAAGATCAAATGACAACTTTTCTTAATCATAGTTCAACTTCTCTATCAAAAAACTATTTTGATATCTATTAAGTTGATTGTCATCTCCAAATGGCATGCACTTGAATTCCTTTAAAGGTCGTACATTTCAATTAAGCAACTTTTCTGTAACGCCACAAAATATGGCCTAAAATTTATTATAAAACAAAAGTAGTTTTGTCTAATAAAGAATATTTTTACGTTTGACCAAAAATAAATGGATTTTCAAAATAATGACTTTGTGTAAAAACTTATTTTTATGGATATGTCTCGAAGAGAAGAATCCAACGGTATATTTTATGAACCAATTTGATTTATAGATTTCAAGTTATGACGATTTTAAATATTAAAATTTGTAACTTTGACCCATAAAATAAACTCAATTCAAAAGTGATTTCATCAGATTAGAAATCACAATTTTGACACTTGACAACACTATATTTGTCATTTGGATTTAATTCATATATTTTTATCTCATTTATATTATTAAATTAATTTATGACTAAGACAGACCCAGACACTGAGAAAAATATAAAAGTTCTCAGAAAAATATTTTGATNAGTTACAAATTTTAATATTTAAAATCGTCATAACTTGAAATCTATAAATCAAATTGGTTCATAAAATATACCGTTGGATTCTTCTCTTCGAGACATATCCATAAAAATAAGTTTTTACACAAAGTCATTA